GCACCGCTCTTTCGAGATGCTAATGTCAAAACCATCGTCATTGAGTCCTTTAGCAGAGGATCCCAGGACCTCAAGGGAGAAATACCAAGAAACACCTCAAACGTAGAACACCTCTGTATCATGAACTTGGCGGCCAACAAGATGGCCGCTACTTTTCTGTCTAACCTCCTGTCTTTACCAAAAAGACTTAAGACGCTGAAGATCGGGTTTGACTGCTCACGCAGAAACGAGTCGTTTTCACGCAGTTTGGATCGTCAAAACTTGCTCTGCGATTTTGATCAAAAGGCTCTAGTTTCGGCCCTGATGTGCCAGAGGAACAGTCTAGAGAGTCTCACTTTGACGTGCAACAACAGACCTGTAAGCACGAACAAGTTCCATTCGACAATGCCGCTACGTCTTCCTATGTTCAATTTTGTTACACAACTTTCCATACCACGACTCTGGCTGGTAAGAAACGGTCGTCAGGGATTCATTGACTGTCATTATCGACTACCTCTTAATGTCAAGCTGCTCCAAGTGATCAATGGAGCTGGATATCGTATGGACTACGGGCGGTGCGGGACAAATGAATGGCTTATGCTTGTGCTGGAAAACAGACCAACAAAGTTGCGAAATTTGGAAAAGGTGGTTATCATAATGACCAAGATGCCGAAGGGCACAAGAAGTGGAGATGAAAAGCTGGATAGTGCTTTGGCCTATGAAGATGATACCAGCGACGATGAGGAGGAAACGGATCTCAAAACTTATATCCGACGAGCAGAAAGCACTCCGCTCAGGAGATTACTGTGGGTAACTACGTGGACCCTAGCGAGAACGGTGGATGTGAAGATTAAGCTCAAGGTTCAGGAGAACATAGAAGATGAACCGGTTTGAAGCGTGTGAAAGTCATATGGGCTCGTGAAACATGTAACCCTCCTAGCAGCAGGGCTTTGCCCTACATTTGTGGGAAGAAGCAATTCAGCGTATCAATATTTGTGATAATCGAAACTTCGGAAGTTTGTAATATCCAAAGAATAAGGAGATTGAACAGCAGCATTGCAAAACAGAAGAAGGCCTTTCATTCACAATCACTTCTACATATCCACCTCACTTGAGTACTTGAAGCCAATGGAAATGTAGTTATGCTTGTTTCCACAACAAGGTTTTGATGTAATATTCCTAGCGCTCATCTCATCGTACGCATCTTCCATTTCTCGACCATACCTTGAACTAATGTGCTTCTCTTGAGATTTCCGGATGCCTCAATTCATTTAAACCCTGACAGAACAGTAGAATACTTGCTGGTTAGTATGAACATGCAAAATGGTCCGCTTCTAATTTGGTGGAAGAAGTCACCTAAATTTCTTCTTGCTCAATGACAATTGATATCTTATTGAACAGACCTCATGAAACATGGATATGAAATGCAAAATCAAACTTATACACCGCGTAGACCAAATAAGTGCCCGTCGAAACACGATGTTCATTAGATCTAGTTAAAAAGACATCGCATATTTCGTGTGTCAGTTTCGCTAAATCAAATGGTTTCAAACTGCTTTCTGATCATATTGAAATGAGTATGATCGAATCTTCTGGGATTCGTAGAAACACTGACATTTGTCTTGATCATCCCGGACGGTATCGAGACGAGAATAAGTGTTGAGATCTTGCGGCTTCTAGTCGTTTACAGTTATGTGAAAAGGCGTAGGACTAAGATATTACTCGTTGCTTTAACGAAACCTAGATGCACTATTCAGGCGTTGGGAACTACTGCTTTTACGTTATCGAAATAAGAGAATAGTGTCCTTGCACAGTATGGTATGAACAAACTCCCCGTCAAAAAACGTACTTGGCTTGTTTTGTGTCATACAAGATATTATACAACATACGTTTGGCTGTTTCAACTACCTTATTAATATAGACAATATCGTTGTAAACGACGAAACTTCTTTTCGTCTTGCCAGGTTCCAATCATGATCACAATTTATCTTATTTGCTACTGAAACTGATTGATACAGCAAAAGAGTCTCATCTCAATTTAAACGAAGAATGGTCATTTCGACAACTAACGACTCATTTACCGTGACCTATCCAAGTAGCCTTCCTCCAATGTCTAAAGCGGAAAAAATGATCATTCTTTGGTCACATAAGAATTTAACGATTGTGGATGTGATGTTATTTTTGTGAATACAACAGTAGGATGGATTCAAAAAATTCAATTCACCAAATCTTCAATTCGCCAGCCGGCTTACGTCGTAACTCGAGTTTTCACCAAAATCTTTCTGTTAACTCTAAACAACAAAACAGATCTTGTTCTTTAGAAGCCGCTCAAGTTATATCATCGACCAGTCAGATCCAACATTCCTTCGAGTCTAACGTCCATCAGTTTACACGTGAGCAAGAATCTATATCATATCGGGGTACCTTTAGGCCTCGACTGATCCTTCCAGCAGGTCGTTTGATATCGTTCACGGCTTCGTAGCACCGCAGAGAATGTATCGCCAACGCCGATCTCGACCAACAGGCATGCCTTTCACTTCACCTTCCGAGCGTCCCGCACCCCAAACCTCACCCATCATTTCCTTACCAGACGAACTCCTCTCCTCGATCGTTCTTAATTACACTATTCCGCCAACAACACTCGAAAACCTCACAAACGAGGATATCAACACGCCACTGACTTCTTGGGTTTCAAACACACTTCAAACTCTAGCCACCGTATGCGAACGACGAAAGGCTCTTTTCGATTTGATCCGCGTCTCGAAGCGGTTCTACAATTTACTGGCCAATAACCTATACGAGTCAACATGTCTTTTCATCCCAGACATCCGATCTATCGATGATTTTACGCGCGGAGAGAACGATTACCGGGTAGATACCATCGTCCAAGATTCCTTTTGGGCTAAACACGACCTCGCCAGCTTGACAGCCGATCGGCTCAGGGCGCTTTTCTGGGTTTCAGAGACCAAGACACTTGTATGTCGAAATCGCGAGGTCAACGACAAACGTAGATCCTTCTGCCTCGATTCCAGTTTCCTCCACGCCGAAAACGTGCAACTTCTGAATTGCAGCATTTCCACACTGCGCGATCTACTGGAGTTCAGTAAGTTCACAAACCTTAAGACGCTGAAGATCGATGTGGATCTCGGCGATTACAGTAACGACAGAATAATATTTGCGGACAGTGAGGCGTTGGGGACTTGCATAAGCCGGCTGAGGAGACATGACACCGCGCTGGAAAGTCTCACTATACAGACCAGGAATTTACAAGTCCTAAGAGGTTCTTTGTGGCCGATAGGTATTGTCAGCTATTCCGAATTCAAAAATCTTAGAAGGCTATCCGTGATGAAAGAACACCTGGCTTACCAAACAACATTGGACTCGTCTCCATTCGTAACTCTTCTACCCAAAACGCTTGAGGAATTGCAAGTTCTCTTTGGAAAAGAAGCGTACGATCAATTTTTGTTCTCTGAAGTTTGGGTAGTTCAATTGCTGGATGCAAAACCAACGCTCGTCAAGCAGCTGCGTAAGGTCGTCGTTATTGGAGTCATCGGCCGCGAGGAAGGAGATACATCTGAGAGTTTTGTTCCAACACAAGAACTGAGGGATGTTGCTGGGGAATTGGGCGTTGATATCGAAATCAAGGTGGAGAGGACTTGACGAGCCAAGTTCACAAGAGGATATTTTGGATTAAAGGTAGCTTCATTTAATAAATTATTTTCGGCGGTGTGATGATTTCGAACAGGCAATTAATTGTACCTCCTCAGCGAGATGGGAAATGACAGCTCTAAATGGTTCGCTCTATTATAATGGTTAACGATCTCCTACCGTTCCATTATTCTAGTTTGCATGATTATAGATATATCTTGTTGCTGCCGCCGGACAAATGATGACATCTCTCACGAGCGTAGATTAATGCCTTCTTGCATCCACGGTACAAGCGCCAGAAAACACAACTTCTATATCTTATTCATCTGCCAAAACGCTTCCTCTCTATTATAACCTCCTCTTATTAAATTAAGCAGACAAAAATTCATAAAATATTGCAATACTTGCTACCTAGCCTAAGACGCTACTTTTATATAATAAAGGCACGTGAAGGTATCATTAAACTAGTACGTAAAGTAAGGTATTTCCTCAGCTTATCCGACGAGGAAAGCCTCCCAATTTTAATATCCAATAACGCTCTTAGCCTTTACCCCGAAAATAAAACACTCACAAAAACGTCCCAAAAATAGCCGAGGTCACAACATTCCCCAAAAATAACCTCTACTAGTAATAGTCGGGGAAAGCAAGTGTCCCAGCCTAATTAGGTGTAAAATTGTATGCGACAAAAAACCCGGATTTCAGAAATTTTCGAAAAATCGATTGATTTCGAGGTCGAAAATTTGTATATAAAAAATCGTGATTTTGTACCTATTTAAAATGGGACACTTGCTTTCCCCGACTCTAAGCCGGAGGCGCAAGAGGAGGACCCACCGACTATTAG